GCCGAGGTGACGGCGCTGCAGACCTTCCTCCAGCAGACGGGAGGCCGAGACGGCGGCTGGGACGAGTTTGACCACCGCAGCTTCCTGAAGGTGTGGACCAAGCACAGAGGAAAGCCCTCGTACAGACACGAAGCACGGCTTTATCTGCCTGGGAAGACGGAGGAGGAGGTGAAGCGGCACGAGGACTGGTTTCTGGAGCTGCGCCGGCTGCAGGAGGACAAGAGAGAGGTGATGAGCTTCTGCATTAAAGGGATAGCTCAGACAACAATTAAAACTCTCTCATTAACCCCTTTAATCACAAATCTTTTCCAGATATGAAAATATCCAGATCATGTGTCAGCTTTTGAAATAATCAATAATTATTTTTTGAACATTTTTTGAAAAATGTTTTAATTGTGAGCGGTGGGATAATGTTTATACCGAATTAACATATTTCTGCAGTCATCAAAATTGCTATATATCTCAGCCCAGCTATTTTAAACTCCGTTTAGGATTACTATTACGCATAAAAACTCTTATACAACATACAGAGATAAAAGACAAAAAATACAACCATCAACGTATTTCAAATTTGTTACTTTATTGTAACATGTATCATAAAATTGTTATATTAGTGCTACAACATCAATATTGTAACTTATTTGTAACATTTGAACTTTTAATTTAGTGCAATATTTTGTCATTGCAACATTTTAACAACTGCGACTGGATTTAAATGTAAACCTAAGTTCACTGTTATCCCAGCGGTCACTATTGTGACTGTTTACTCATTCTGTGACCACACTCAACAAAACTGAATATATGTGACCCTGGACCACAAAACCAGTCTTAAGTGTCAATTGTTCAAAATTAACATTTAACATTTATGCATCAACTGAAAGCTGAATAAATAATCTTTCCATTGATGTATGGTTTGTTAGGATAGGACAATATTTGGCTGAGATACAACTATTTGAAAATCTGGAATCTGAGGGTGCAAAAAAATCTAAATATTGAGAAAATCATCTTTAAAGTTGTCCAAATGAAGTTCTTAGCAATGCATATTACTAATCAAAAATTAAGTTTTGATATATTCACGGTAGGACATTTACAAAATATCTTCTTGGAACATAATCTTTACTTAATATCCTAATGATTTTTGGCATAAAAGAGAAATGTATAATTTTGACCCATACAATGTATTGTTGGCTATTGCTATAAATATACCCCAGCGACTTAACACTGCTTTTGTGCTGCAGGGTCACAAATATAACTGGTTTTGTGGCGTTCTGTCCTCCAGGCCATCTGTAAATGGCGAGCGTGGAAGCAGAGAGAGCGGGAGCTGCAGCGGGAGCAGCGTGACGCAGACGAGGAGCCGCAGGAGGACGAGGAGCAGGAGGAGCAGCGCAGGGAGGCGTCTGAGCGTCTGGAGGTCTGGAGGAGACGCAGAACACAGCAGAGAGATGAGGAGCGACAGCAGCGGCTCAGAGACCAGATCCTGCAGACGAGAAGAGCTAAAGAAGAGCGGCGGCGACAGCTGGAGCTCAAGCTGCTCGTGGAGGCGCACCTGCAGCAGAAGAAGGAGCAGGAGGAGCTGCGTGTGCTGGAGGAGGAGGCGCAGGAGCAGGCGGAGAGACAGGAGCGCCAGCGGCAGGCAGCTGAAGGCATCAGACGCTTTCAGGAGCGAGTGAGCCGAGCTCTGTGTGTTAGACACTGAAGCTGGTGTTCACTCTGGTACTCAGTGACTCTCTCTCTCTCGTCAGGACTCTCGCCGCCTCGAGGAGAAGCTGCAGGAGAAACAGAGTAAAGAGCAGGAGCAGAGCGAGCGGCAGAGGACGCTAGATAAACTGAAGGACAAGGTTTGCTCAAGGGACATTAGAACTGTACAAAATATATTTAAAAATATAAAACTTGCCATATTTGCATAAAATGTTTCAAAATATATTTAGATAAACTTATTTTCCACCAGTATATTTTTTTTGTCTATTTTTGAAAATGTATTTTAAAAATATTAATATATTTTTTATCAGAACATTTTTTCAAAACATATTTTGCCCTATATATTTCAATCCAATAAAATACTTAATTTGTTGTCTGTAATGTATGAACATGTAAGAAACAATACACACACACATATATATATATATATATATATACACTACCAGTCAAAAGCTTTTAAAGATTTTGTTTTTTTAAAGAAGTCTCTTCTGCTCAGCAAGCCTGCATTTATTTAAACCAAAATACAGCAAAAGCAGTAATATTGAGAAATATTATTATAATTTAAAACAGCTGTTTTCTATGTGAATCTCTGTTAAACTGTAATGTATTTCTGTGATGCGCAGCTGTATTTTCAGCATCATTACTCCAGTCTTCAGTGTCACATGATCTTCAGAAATCAGTATAATATGATGATTTGCTGCTTGAGAAAATTTGTTTTTTTTTAAATATTAAAGTCTCTTCTGCTCAGCAAGCCTGCATTTATTTAAACCAAAATACAGCAAAAGCAGTAATATTGAGAAATATTATTATAATTTAAAACAGCTGTTTTCTATGTGAATCTCTGTTAAACTGTAATGTATTTCTGTGATGCGCAGCTGTATTTTCAGCATCATTACTCCAGTCTTCAGTGTCACATGATCTTCAGAAATCATTCTAATATGATGATTTGCTGCTTGAGAAAATTTGTTTTTTTTTTAAATATTATTATCAATATTTAAAACAGTTGAGTAAATTTTTTCAGGATTCTTTGAATAGAAAGATCCAAAGATCAGCATTTATCTGAAATAACAAGCTTTTGTAACATTATACACTATTCCATTCAAAAGCTTGGAGTCAGTACAATTATTTTTGGGAAAGAAATTATAGAAATTAACACTTTTATTTAGCAAGGATGCTTTGATCAGAAGTGATGATAAAGACATTTCTAATGTTACAAAAGATTTCTATTTCAGATAAATGCTGTTCTTCTGAACTTTCTATCCATCAAAGAAACCTGACAAAAATGTAACCGTTTTCAACACTGATAATAATCAGAAATGTTACTTCAGCAGCAAATCAGCATATTAGAATGATTTCTGAAGTGTGTTGTTTGTGACTCTGTCCTCAGGTGGAGGTTCACATCGGCCGCGATCCGTCTAGACTCTGGAGGCTCACTAAAGTGTGGCAGGAGCGCACTAAAGAGATCGGGCCGTCGGGGCCCGGAGCCGGAGCCGGAGCCGTGCTTCACATCTTCCACAGGTACGTGTTACTATCACTCAGAGGTCAGAGCGAGCCGGCGTGTGCTGTCAGATCATCGTGTCTGTGTGTGTTCTCCACAGAGCTGTTCCAGCATGGAGACAAGACTCATGAAACATCCACCGCTTCGACTGGAAGTGTGTCAGAATGAACTGCAGTGTAAATGAGCTTTCTCTTCATGTTAATGGAGGCATCAGTTTGATTAAACCGTTTTATACTAGTGATGTTACGTTCACCACGGAAGCTTCGAAGCTTGTATCAAACCCAGCGCATTTCACACTGAAGCACTGTACTGGAGCTTGACCTCGGGCTTCATGGAAGACGAGACCTGTTGAAGAATCGATAGAAAGACAGCCCAGATTGTGCTGTGTTAGTGATGCACCGATCATAGCTGATTCAGATTCAGTTTTGTGATCTATGAGAGAATCAACTAAATTACAAAGTCACTTGCAATCTTTTTTTTTTATTTCAGAAAACGTATAATACAGACAACATCAGGGAAATCTTTGACAACATTTACACTTACATCAGCAACGAGATAAACCTGGGTTTACGCTCACATCATAATAGAGTTAACGTGTCACTTGCAATCTTTATTTGTTAATTATCTGGAGATGCGTTACAATATTTACATAATATTGTTTCAAAATTAAATCTAACCCTTAGAAACTCACCAGAAGGGTAAATACCATATAACATTTTCTTTAGTTTTGGGCTGAACTGGAAATTTGAAATATGAGGTTCTAATATGTTTAAGCATTCGTTTGTCAAAGAAAAGATCCAGATGATTTCTTACAGACCTGTAGTTGAAGATTTGTCTAATATAATCGTTTGTACATTTCTTACTTTTAAACTCAGCTGGCCCAAGCTATAGTGCGTGAATCGGTGTAAATCGACTATATAATAACCTTTCATAATAGTTTTAAGTCCAGAGCTGGAATTACTGTGAAACCCATGTTTAAGAGTAAAAGCACTGTAATCCAACACCTCTGCAGCATCATCAAAGACATCCTTTGAAGAGCAAATATTTCTACAAAACCAATCCTCATAAAAAAGTGATTTATTTCTGTGTAGAGTATACTTATTATTCCATATTGAAGAATTATGTGGTGTAAAGTTATGGGTGTGTGCTAATTTCCAATATCGCAAAACTTGATGAAGTTTAGAAATATCGAAGTAAGGTTAACGCTGTAAACAAAGCGAAGCTGCTGCACACGAGCAGTTGTATGAGTTGGATTGTATAATTTCAGGATTTAAAGAAAAATCAGAACGGTCTGGCTTCAGCTTTGTGACATTATGCTACATTAAACATCTGCATGAAACAGAAAGGTTGAGAGCGCTGATCTGTAAGAGAATCATCAGAGATTGAGACGCAGATGCTCTCTCTGCCAGCAGGCGGCGCTCATGGGACAGATACAGCGTTTCCTTGGTTACCGCTGTAAACAACACCAAGCTGCACTGAACAAATACCACTTTATTCGAGGTAAAAGCAGAAAATGGCATTGCCATCTACACTTTTCTCAACACAGTCAGTTCCCTCAGTGATGCATTAATATAACCACAACCCCAGTTCAATACTTATATTTTCTTCCTATATTTCGAGCATCGTGAACAGTATTTAGCGTCATGAATTTTTCTTTATCACTGCCTCAGTCGATCCCGAAATAACAGACAAATGAGTACAAAAATGGAGAAATGTAATGTATTTTTGTACTTATTTTACTGTTATTTTCGGGATTATATGGGATTCGGGATATTACATTATAATGCATTAGTTTTTTGGGGGGGGGATATCGTAATGCATATGAAGCTCAAATTAACTTTACCTACGAAATAACCGTGTAAGGACTGAGGCAGATTTAAAATAGATTTAATTTATGAATTTTTGATTAATGTATGTTGCTGCCAGTACGCCCACACAAAAGACTGACTTTGACAATGACCATTATTTATATACAATACAATACAGCACAGCCTCGGCTGCAGAAGCAGCGGCGCTGTTCCTTCTTATCACCACTAGATGGCCACAGCATAAACCGCTTCGAGTAATGAACTTTTGTCCGATACAATAGTGCTGAAAGCTTCGCTGGTTCAGAACGCTTCTTTCTCTTCGCCATTACTATTTTATACATTATAACGCGTCTGTTTGTGATTCATTAAGAACTGAGGAGCAGCAGCAGCGCGTATAGTGTGCAGGACTCTTATTTTGCCGCGTGTTCGTGCAGCGGAAGCGGAAGCGGCGCGCTGACCGTGTTTCTTCTGAGCGATGATGGCGGATTCTGATCAGGAGCAGGACGATGCGGTTCTTCCAGCGCTGCCTGCACGTGCTTCCCGAGAGATACGCGCCGTACGAGACCAGCAGGTAACCCAGCACCGGGAAACACACACACACACACACACACACTCTACAAAGCTTTGTGTGTAAACTCATCCACTTCTGTTCTTTGAAGGAGAAACGAGGCTGTCGTAGCGTGAAGTAAAGTGTGTTTATCGTCACAATCTAATCACTGTATTCTTCATTTAATATTCTCCAGTCATTAGTGTTTACAACAAGCACAGAGACAGAGCGCGTTTAGGCCACGCCCACCGGTGGAAACAGTCCCGCCCTCTCCATTGACTGTATAGAGGGAAGCTGCCTCCTTGTCATTATTTCTGACTTATAATAAAAAGCAGAACAATATCTAAAGCTGCTCTGTGACGAGATATACAGTATGGCATGGTTTTCAGATTATGACGCGAGTCGCTCTAACTATAGTTTATGATGTTTATTTGGATTAAACGCTGTTCTTCACTACATAAACACTACAGTCTGACTGGATGACATGACATGAGATTTTACTGTCCTTAAAGATAAAGGCCAGAAATATCTCGGTCATATTTTCACCATTTGGCTTATTAATAATAACAATAACTTCAGCAATAATAATAATGATGATAGTAATAATCAGGGCGGGGAAATCTCGCACTCATCCAGGCCACACAGAGAGAAAGGGACCAAAATCACACCTTGTGGGGTACAACACTCGTCACTGGAGCAGTACTCTTAAAAGGACATCTTTGTTCCTTTTTTTTTTTTTTTTTTACCCCTAATACATATTAGTTACAGTAGTATCTCGGAGACGCTGAACATGCCTTTTCAGATGGTTTCGTGGTGCTCGTTGTTGTATTTTAAAACACAATTTTCAGCTGACATTATAGCATTTAAAATAAAATGATCCCAAATGTAACTGTGGCGCGTGTGGCTGTGCTGCAGTCAGTGAACCGCTTCCATCGGCGCTGCTGCAGCAAAACACTGTTGCTCACATCAAACATTATCATCTGAGTATTATGACCAGTACTTCTTTTGATCCTGTTCCGGAAAATGTCAGATTTTGAATTTTTGCGTTCCGGTAGGCCTATTTGTTTTTAATAATCCGGCATTTACAGTGCATCAGATCGTGACGGAGCGAGCGCGGGTTTGGCTAGATGTATTTGGAGGTTATTGCTCGCGTCTCATTCGGCACAAATACAAATGTTTCCATATTCGCAATGTATTTGAATGTTAAACTATTATTTATAATGTAAACTAGGCTTGTGCTTTACACGCATTCGCGTATAGACGGAAAAGATCCTCTTCACATGAGCAAAAACGTCCTTAACAGCAGAGTGGACCGGGATACTACGGTCTATTTAAACTGACCAGTGTAACCTGTTATATGTTTGGTTGACTGTATTTTATTTTGATAATGAACAGACTGCGATGTAAGTGTGAATTGCTAGAATATGTGGGGTGTGTGTGAGGTGCCGGCGCGATCCAACAGCTGAAACATAAAAAAAAAACATTTTTGGAGTAAGATATAATCCGCAAAAGTGTTTACTTTTATGTTTGCGCACACACAATAAAAACAGAAGATTTGTGCTTTTGTAAAATAAAGCAAACAAACAGAATGCGCGCGGTCATCTCGGTTCTCGGTTTCCGTGAACTTGTTCATGGAGCGCTGCGCCACACTTCTGTTTTAAATCTGTTAGCTTAATTAAGTCGATATATTTTGCATATTTTTTTAATGAAAACAAATTTTGTTATTTTTATTTTAGGCCTATTTTGATATAACTTACATAGGCTATACATTTTCCTGAACGCATCCCATTTTGTCCCAGGGCTTGAAACCTGTGCCTAGGCTAGTCAGGTCCTGCAGAAACTCGTGAACGATGCTCGTATTGTTGTGTGCATCACCGTTTAGTGACAGCATTGAATGCTCCGGGAAAACGTGTTGTGAGTGTCGGTCACAGCGCATCCAGCTATTATTTATGTACAAATTATAAGCTCTGATTATGACACAAGTGAGGTATAAAAGAGGAGTAATTGGTTAGCTGGTAAATAGCCTACATTCACGCGCTTTCTTCTGGTTTGCCGGTTGGTCACAAATTTCCACAAATTTAATAATAGTTATTGTTTCTTTTCCTAAATCCTCACCGTCTCACCCTCTAATTTTGCAGGTTTATTTTATTGTCGTTCACTTTTAATCACTGTTTTCGCATCTCTTACTGTGGTGAACATGCGGGAAGAGAACTGTATTGGATGTAAAGCAAACTAACTATTATTCAAATAATTAGTGATTTGTGCAGCCATCAATTTCTCTGCAACCTTTGAGACAATATGTAAAATACTAATAGTTCTCAGAATGAACATCTCCAGCTTTGGATATAGGCACAATAACAGATGAGTCCAAGCACACGGGAACATGCCCTGAGGAACTGACGGGTTGGTAATGTTAGTGATAGGATTAACTCGTGACTCACTAAGCTCTTTCAGCATTACTACATCTATACCAAATATATCCTTTGCTCTGGATGGGTTAAGAGATGTAATTGTTCTTCTGAGACGGCTCTTAAAGTACGGGCTTGTTCCACTGTATTAACTGATAAACGTCTGTATACTCAGGACAGAAGCATTGTGCACTTCTGACCACAGAATTAATGAAGTAATGATTAAGTGCTTCGGCTACATCAGATGGATTATTAGTCAGCTTCCCGTTTACCATCGATTCAAGTGATGTCCTATCTCTCATTTGATCTCTTTTTAAACAGTTAAACTGATTCCAGGCTGTTTTAGAATGACCTCTTGCCTCGTCAGTTATTCTCAGGAATAAATCAGCCTTTGCTTTTCTCAGGGTCTTTACCAGCTTGTTCCATAACGCAACGAAATGTTGTCTATCATGACTTAACTTTGGTCTGTTCGCAGCTTTTAAAGCAAGATCCCTAAAATACCTGAATTCATCCAGGGACAGTGTGTTTTTTTTAGTTTTAGGATTACATTTACAGCTAAAATCTTTAATAGTGCTCTCTAATTTGTTGGAGAATATTAGACTGTCTTCCTCCTGATCTTTTCCGGTTAACAAAGTGCTCCATTTAATCTGATGCACTAGTCATCTAGTTTGTGTTTTGGCCTGCCATAAGAATCATATGTGACCCTGGAGCACAAAACCAGTCATAAGGGTCAATTTTTTGAAATTGAGATTTATGCATCATCTGAAAGCTGAATAAATAAGCTTTCCATTGATGTATGGTTTGTTAGGATAGGACAATATTTGGCTGAGATACAACTATTTGAAAATCTGGAATCTGAGGGTGCAAAAAAATCTAAATATTGAGAAAATCATCTTTAAAGTTGTCCAAATGAAGTTCTTAGCAATGCATATTACTAATCAAAAATTAAGTTTTGATATAGTTACGGTAGGAAATTTACAAAATATCTTCATGGAACATGATCTTTACTTAATATCCTAATGATTTTTGGCATAAAAGAGAAATGTATAATTTTGACCCATACAATGTATTGTTGGCTATTGCTACAAATATACCCCAGCGACTTAACACTGCTTTTGTGCTCCAGGGTCACATATTTTCTTATGAATTAATTGAATCTCTTACTAGATAATTTTCTGGCCACTAAAATCAAATTGTGGTCAGAAAGGCCTGTTAACACATTAAAAGTTTGTAAAATTCTCTCTGCTCGGTTACTAAAAATTAAATAAATTAGTTATTCTTGTAGGCCCATTAATCAGTAGCTTCAGATCGAAATGATCAGTTATCTGTCTGAGATTCTTTCTAACTGTTTTATCATCCCAATTAATATTAAAGTCTCCCATAATAATAACTTCTTTGTTGAAATCGCACTGTTTTAGTCATTGTTTCAAGTTTTCATAAAAACTAGAATTAGAAGATGGAGGACGATAAATTACAATTAATACAAACGACGTGTGGTGATCGAATCAGATTCAGACCAATACATTCGAGCGAGTTCATTACACTGGAGGCCAGATTTCACATTAATCATAACATCGTTCCTATACGCTTCTAATGCTGCTCAGAGGATTTACATGAAGCCATGTCTCAGATAAACAAAGAAGATCTAAATTAGAGTCTAATAAAAGATGATGAATTTGATCACGTTTTGATATAAGACTTCGTATATTCAGATGACCACCTAGACTTTAGGATCCCGAATTGTTCTTGATCCCCCTTTTCCTATTTTTTAAAATAGCTTGATTTACAAATTTCCTTTTTAGATTTTGCATAGACTTTGCAGACACTTGTGAAGCAGCTAAACCAGTCGTTTATAGCAAAGCAATCATGATAATTAGCCTGAAGCTTGACTTTGATGAAGTCGGGTTGATGGCTTTGAATGTTTCTGCACTCGCTTGTACAGAGATAAATAAATAAGAGTTACTGCTAAAATGTGCTTCCCATGTCCATCATTTCCCAAAGCATTGTGTGTTTGTTGGGCAGACCGATCAGCTTTATTAAGTATTTTCTCATTTGTTACCACGATTCGCAAAAAAGCTCAAATTAACAGGACTTAAAGTTAAAAAGCAAGCTGTGTAGTAAGAGAGCTGTGGCAACTGTGTATGAAGTGAACTAGCTTAAAGAGTTATTTAGTGTCATATGTTAATGTTAAAAATCCTGTGTAATATAACTTGTTTGCTGGTTTTTATTGTGTTTGTTATACTTTTGTTTTTGCCATGAAATTAGCCTCAATGCTGGCATGGTGTTAAATAAAAATATACTACTACTGCTATTTTTCTAAATTCACAACTTTCTAAACTGTTCACACTGCAAAAACAAGCATATCTAACTTAACCCACTCGCAGACCATTTGACTTATTTTAAGCAAAATTCACATAATCCAGTTTTTTTTTTTGCCTGGAAACAAGATTAAATATCTTCAGTCATTTTGCTTATCTTGTAAATGAATCTTAATTTAAGAATGTTTTGATATTTTGACTAGAAACAAGACAAAACTACTAAGTAAGATGAGCTTTTTTTTGCAGCGTATGGATTTGTTTTCTGCTGCAGGTGTTTTGAGAAGATATTTCATCAGCGGAACTGTTCTTAAACAACCGTGTAACACATTAAACGAGCTGGAGTTCGTTAAGTACGGCTCTGTGCGTGTACTCTTTGGGTTCCAGATACACAACGGTTTTATTCAGAGCTGTGTCTAACTGATTTATTTAAAAATGTATCACCTGAATGTATTTTAGAGTTTTTGTCTAGTGTGCATCTGAAATGTCTTTTATAACCTTTTGTTAATTGTGTACCTTGTATAATTTATTCAGAGATCACCATGAAAATAGCCTCAAAGCTGGCATGGTGTTAAAAAGTGAATAAATGACTCTTTGGGTTGCACCGGCAGACGCTGTCAGAGTCGTGAATCTGGATTCACACTGAGCTGATGGTCTGGGTTTCTGGGATGCTCTGCTCTTCTGTTCTCCTGTGCAGCTCACGATCGTGTTCTTTGCTCGGTCCGGTCTGGATGTGCTCGATGCTCTGCATGTCGTGGACAAGCCGGGTTTAATCGAGTGGATTTATTCCCTGCAGGTTCTTCCCACCGATGACAGTGAGTCTCTCACGCTTCACTCGTCTCATTTATCATGTGATAGAAGCTCTGTAACGCTTCTTCCCGTCTGCTTTCTCTTCTCTTGATGAACAGAGTCCAGTCTCAGACGCTGTGGCTTCCCCGCGCGGATCCTCACACACCGGCGTTCCCTACAGCAGCTCGACGGTAGACATTCTACTTGCTTTTTAATTTACTGTACAATTATACAATTTAAGATATTAAGTCTTGTTTTCTAAAAAAAAAAAAAAAGTCCATTGGCAAGTTCATGTTTTGAACAAACTCACTTCATTTTGATTTATTTCTCGGAAAACAAGTGTTCTTATTTATTTTTGCATCTGCAGTAAACGTGTCTTGATTTAAGGATGTTTGTACTGGAAAACAAGACAGAAATACTGAGGAAGAAAATCAGAAGTTATTTACATATTTTATTGTTTGTGAGCAGAGATATTCAGTCATTAAGCTGTTGTTTTTGTAAGCTGATTTATACACTAATGGAAATGTGTTGGAAGGTTTATTTTCAAAACTGTAACCCGTTTAATCCCACATTTTTCCCAGACATGAAAATATCCAAATGATGTGCCATTAGTAACCCTTTGAAATAATCAATAGTAATTTTTTGAAAATTCTTTGGAAAAGTGTGTGAAAAACTGTGTTTTACGGTCGTCACTATTGTGAGCGGCGGGATAATGTGTGTACTGAATTAACATATTTCTGCAGTCATCAAAATTATTATATATCTCAGCCCAGCTATTTTAAACTGTTTGATCACATTCTAGGGTTATTATTATGCATAAACACTCTTATACAACACTGACAGGAACACAGACATAAAAGACAAAAAATACAACCATCAACATATTCCAAAATTGTTACTTTATTGTAACATATATCATCAAATTGTTATATTAGTGCTACCAGTATTACATCAATATTGTAACTTATTTGTAACATTTGAACTTTTAATTTAGTGCAATATGTTGTCATTGCAACATTTTATTGCAGCATTCAACTGGATTTATATGTAAACCTAAGTTCACTGTTATCCCAGCGGTCACTATTGTGACTGTTTACTCATTCTGTGACCACACTCAACAAAACTGAATATATGTGAATTCATATATTAATACTTAAAGATAACCTATTAAATAGGCTTTTGTTTTGGAGCTTTGATGCAGTTAAAAACTATGCAGTCGCTGGCCTGCAGAGTCCACTCTAAACGTGCCTGTGGCAGTGTAAGTGAATCCTCATGATTACCCAGAAACACAAGTTATTCCCGCGGGTCAGTGGGGGTCAAAGGTCGAGCGGATCTCTGATGTAATCCAGCTCTTCCACACGGCTCACTCCTCGTGTGTCACACACAGACAGACGAGAGTAACTCACAGAACAGACGCAGAGCTCTCTGTAGGTCACACACTCCGTCTGTTTATACTCGTCTTTAGTGATGTGTGTTTTAGTCCCACTGCGTTTAAACCGATGCTTCAGCCAGAAATCATCATTCACTCGCCCTTATGTTATTCAGACATGACTTACTTTCTTCTGAGGAGCACAAAAGAAGATATATGTGTCCCTGCAGCACAAAGGCAGTGTTAAGTCGCTGGGGTATATTTGTAGCAATAGCCAACAATACATTGTATGGGTCAAAAGTAAAGATCATGTTCCATGAAGATATTTAGTAAATGTCCTACCGTAAATATATAAAAACTTAATTTTCACGTTTAGAAGAATGTTTGGGAACCGAACCACTTTGGACCCCGTTGACTTTCATCACAAGGATGAAGAACTAAAAACATCTTTTGTGTTCCACTGAAGCGAGTCGAACAGGTTTGAGTGACACGAGGGAGAGTAAATGATGACCGAATGATCATTCCTGACTAACTGATCTCATTACAGTATGTTGATGGCGCTGCTGTTGCTCAGTCGTATGACAGCGGCATCGGTCAGGGAGCTGGACTGGAGTCTCACGGTGAGTCACACACCTGTCTCCAGTCTCCGTCAGTGAAGCTGGTGATGATAACGGCTCTGTCTTCACTCAGGCGGATCCACGTTCTGTGCCGTGGCGTCTCTGTGCACGATGGGAAAGCTGCAGGAGGTGTTCAGTGAGCGAGAGCTGAAGCGGATCCAGACAGCAGAACGGCTTCCACGGCCTGCTACTCCTTCTGGCTCGGAGCCACGCTGCAGGTGCGTCACGTCTCTGTCGCCTCAGGACTCGAACCGTGGGATGAAGAGCAGAATCACGGAATCCAGGCACAAAAGCAGAGTTTACTGAATAACGAGGCATGCACTGCAAAAAAATGATTCTCTTGCTTAGTGTTTGTGTCTTGTGTTCTAGTATAAATAACTAAACGTTCTTGAATCAAGATGCATTTACAGTTATTTGCAAGTGTTATAACAAGTCTCAGTTAGCTTAGCGCAGTACACGTAGCAAGTTTTTTTTTTAATTATATAATAAATAAAAAGAAAAACAGACGGAATAGAAAAAGAAATAGAGCAAGCTAGTCAATCCAGAGACATGCAGGACAGATGAACGTGTGTGTGAGTGTGAGTGTGAGTGTGAGTGTGAGTGTGAATGTGTGTGTGTCTGTCAGTCGAAACTCAATACAGCAGACCTCGGTGTGTGTGAGTAGTGAATTTAGGTAAAGGGGTGCAGAGCCAGTGCTGGTTTTGTAGGCAAACATTGATATATATAATATATTGTTAATGATTTAGAATTTTTGATGATTAATTTAACCATTAAAAATTTAAATGAGGGGGAAAACATTGAATTTGGGAAAAGATAAGACTGATAAGATTAATTCTCTGTTGTTTACCAAGTCGACCATCACTAGTATTGTTTAGTGATCAGATCTCTTTTGTGTGAGTGTGAGTGTGAGTGTGAGTGTGAGTGTGAGTGTG